AGTGTGGAGGGAGAGGAGGGAAACGGTCTTTGGGGTCAGAGCCGCGCAGGCAGTTGGATAAAGGGATCATGGAAGGGAGGGTCAGCTGAGTCTGCTTGCGCGAAGCTGGCCGTGTCAGGTCAAGGTGGCCACAGGTGGCCATGTGGGAAGGAGGGGCCAGCACCTGGACACCAAACGCCGGGCCAGCAAGCCCAGCAGAGGCTGTCCACCACACTGGCCCCCTCCTCGGACGCTCACGAAACCCCTGGTCAGACAAGTGGACGAGCGCCCTGGCCCTCGGCCCAGCTCTCCTCCTCCGTCTCCTTCGCACCCCTCTCCCCGTGTCCCCTCGCTGCCCTTCCGTGCCCCTCCTTTTCTTTATGTTCTCTTCGCGTCCTGGCTCCGACACGTCCCCTCTCAAACTGTGTTTTACAGTGTTTGAATCTGAGGACATAAAAATTACCCACATTTAAAATCTGTAGGCTTCCAAACAGTAGGTATACCTGGGGAGGTGAGCCCGGCGTCGTGGCCCGGTGGCTCTCTGAGCCTCGACTCTGGCGCGCGAGGAAGGCTGGGCTGACGCTCTGAGATCACAGCGCTGCCAGGCCGCTGGCCCTGCCCGCCGCACCTGGGACTTGCCGGCCTGCAGCTAGGCTGGCCTGGAGCCACGCCTGTTCCCTAAGACCAGCTTTCTCAAGTGCCCTGGTTGCTCAGAGCCCCGGGGAGTGACGCGGGGAAGACCGAACCCCCTGAGGAGGAGAAAGCTCTCCAGGACACTGTGCTTCCCACTGGATCCCGCGGGTAGCAGGCCGGCAGTCACACTCGTGCCTGGGGGCTCCTTGCAAGCTGTGGCCTGCCCCTGCCAGCACCGCTGTGTGCCAGGTCACGGACAGAGAAGACACGCGTGTAACCCGTCAAGAAGGACACGTTCTGAGAAGGCCAGGTCCAAACAGCCCTTACAAAACCAAGGGGTCCTGTTTTTATTTGAACAAACAGTTCACAAGTGGACTCTGACACCTGGACATATTTTTAAAGGGTCACTGCCCTCAGTCCGGTCTCCCCCAACCCTACGTAGCAACATCAGGCTTCCACTGGGAACTTTCGGGGGGCCTTCCTGTGTCCCCTCCACACTCACCGCAGCTTTCGGGAGCTGATGTGCTCAAACCCTTTGCCCGTGAGCATGTCTGTGCTCATGTTCAAGGCCACAGGCCCTCCTTTCCTGGGCCTTGACTATCTCTTCAGCCTCATCTCTGCTGTTTCTGAAGTGGTCTCACTCACTCCCACCTCCCCTGTTTCTTGACTCCATGGCTCTGCTTATTCTGCCCTTCGGCCGCAGTGTCAGCAGGCTGACCTTTCCCTACACGGGTGCCATCTCCTGCAGGGAGCCCGCCTGCCCTCGCAGGAGGGGCGCCTCCCCTGTGTGCACAGCCCCGCCTGAGCAAGGGACCTGCAGTCTGCTCTGCGTCTGTCTTCCTCACCAGACTGCAGGTCCTTCAGGGAGGGCCTGTGTCTCATTCATGTTTGTATCTGCAGCACTTTGCGTCACTTCTGACACCCAGTTCCGGCTCCTCTGATGCTTCTTGAGTGAATGAAAAAGCAGGTGCTTTATGGGATTTAAACATGGAAAGTTACAGGGGTCCTCTCGTGTAGGGCTGCCGATAAACTTTTCCCATCAATAAGAAGCTTAAGACTGATAGTGTAACTTTCAATACACAAAAGGAAATTCCATTTGGTAGCATTTGATTGAGGGAGAACCGGTTTCAGACACTTTGTGACAGAAGGGAAGTGTTCTCATCAGCTTATGGGCCACTTACTTTGGACTTGGGTTTGTGCTTCATAGAATTTTCTGGAAAACCACAAGAGGACCTTCTCAAATGAAGTGTACCCTGCCCTGTTCCTAACTCATTATGGGTGCTCACCGTACGCCTAACGTGTTCGTTTAAGCAAAAGTGTTTTTCTAATCATTGACTCATAGTAACTTCTTAGAGAAGATAGGAGCCAGGGAGGAGGGGTCCACCACCATCAGAAACACATCTACAGGAAGGGGACCTGAACCTCTGGGCCGAGGGCCTCTTCCTGGATGGGCCTTCTGAGCAGGTTGCAGCCTCACTGTTCCTGCACCAGTCGGCGTCGGCGATGATAACGCTGTCTCCGGGTGGCCTCTGTCACACTTGGAGCAGACACGGGCCTCCTCCTCGTGCTCAGAGTGGACCCCCTTCGGTTGTTTTGTCCTGGTCTTGTGCAGTCGGAGGAGGGAACCGGCAGGTCCCGGTGTGAGAGCATCATGGCAGTGACCTCAGAGGAAGGAAGGCTCACCCCTTTCACTGGCTGAAGAACAAGGTGGTGCTGCAGAGAGAGCGTCGGTGCCGTCTGTAGCCGGTTTCTCTTCCCCGGCAGGGCCTGTGCTGGTCCACACCACCGCGGGACCACCGTGGGGTTTAGATCGGGAATTTGTTTTTTCGAATTTAGATGGCTAACTCATGTGAAAACTCGTGTGAATCCTCTTTTTTCATTAAGATTCCTGGGTTCCAGTTTTTCCATCCACAAAATGAAACTAGAAAATCTTGGGAGTTGTTTGCAGCTTTTCAGATCCCACGATTTATCACTCTGTCTCCTTTCACTGTTTCTATTTTGGATTCTCAAGCCATTATTCTTATATTTGTGTGAACAGATAGGGCCATAAACCTCTGGTTCCACAGATAAATGGCAGCCTTTATTGGGAAAATGTATATGTTGGAAGCACAGTGTTCAGTTGTGATGAAATGAATGATAGCCACTTGCAAGGCCCGTAATGAAAACTGAAGAATTACAGGACAGCATGGAGTCTTCTGCCAGCTTAGCTGCTGCAGCCAGGATGGCTTCAACACAAAGGATGTTTAATGGCTCTCCTCCCCCCCTTCTTTCCCTCTCCCTCCCCCCCCCCTTTCCCCAGGCGAGTCACCTCTGCTTTCCTTCTCCTAAGCTCCAGGGGCCTTTCTTCTGCCTCTGTAACTTGTTTCTTGGGCCCACGCAGCCCAGCTGGCTCACTTCTTCCACCTCTGTGCCGTCCTAAATAAACTTGCTAATAAACACAAAAACAAAGCATATTTATACATTGGGTCTCAGAATAATAATTCAAATGCTTAAGGGCCTCATCTTGTGCTGTTAACACAAGAACATCCAGACACTGTTTTCTTTAACTCCAGGAAGAGTGATTTAGAAGGCTGGATCTTGCCACACGTGTCCAGCTGCATGTTTAATACTCCCGGGAAAAAGCTCTTCTATAAACGTGGAAATAACCAAGTCTGGATGCTTGAATGATGCTCATATCTTTGCTTACAGTTGTCAAGACCTTGTATATACAAGAGTACAAAATTAATAAACACTGTCGTATTTGCTGCTATTATAAGCCAGGCAGCAATATTTTATTTGCATCATAGGGTATTATTCTGGAATTTCACCTTTACATGCTTTGAAATGATGGAAAATTGAACCAAGTTTAACTAGAGTTTATGAAACGTTGCTCTGAGTTACACAACCAGTCTGCATATTTAACAATTTACAAAACTTTCTACTTTTCACAAATTAAGTATTGCCACTTGAGAATATGTTTCTGAAGAACACCGACTATATTTTAATGCCCTGGGTGTGTTTCTCCACAGCAAACTTTTCCACAGTAGACTGTTTCTGGAAGAGTCTAACGTGTGCGTGGAGGGATGAGGCCAGGTGAAAATCTCCTGTCCCACCCTGGCCGGTTTGGCTCAGCGGTTAGAGCGTTGGCCTGCGGACCAGAGAGTCCCAGGTTCGGTTCCCGCTAAGGGCACGTACCTCGGTTGCAATTTGTACCTCCCCCCTGTTGGGGCCGTGTGGGCGGCAGCCAGTCGATGTGTCTCTCTCACAGTGATGTTTCTCTCTCTCTCTTACCCCCTCTCTCCCTCCAGCTCTATCTGAAAATAAATGAAAAAAAAAAAAAAAAAAAGTCTTCGGGTGAGGATAAAAAAAAAAAGAAAGAAAACCTCTTGTCCCCTCCACCCTCTCCCTGTCCCCGTCTGCTCATGCTCACTCCATGTCACCCTGGACAATGCGGACTGACTGGCGGGGAGCATTCTGCTTCCTTTCTGGAAGCCGGAGGTACTGCTGGGAGGCCTTTGCCTGCTTCCCGGCCATGTGCTCATCCCTGTTCTCGGAAGCCAGCCCTCCAGGCCCTGCTCGCTGGATGCCCGGGGTGGAAGGACGTCCCTTTCATCTGGGAAAAGTGACTCGCCTGGGGAACGAGGGCTCGCTTTCTTGTGCAAGCGCAGGTTGTGCTTCCCATGCAGTGTTTTCAAGGTCGCTGCGATGCTCTCAGCTGGCATCTAACCGCAGGTGTACCAACTCTAGACCCTCCCTAGTGCCACTGCGGTTTCCTTTTTTTTTTTTTTTCACCCAAGGATATTTTTCTACTTATTATCAGATAGAGTGGGAGGGACAGAAAGACAAAGAGAAACATCAATGTGATAGAGCCACATCGACCGGTTGCCAACCGCAGGGACACCAGGCCCAGGGACAAACTGCAACTGAGGTACGTGCCCTTGACCGGAATTGAACCCGCGACTCATTGGTCTGCGGGCTGACGCTCCAGCCCCCGAGCCAAACCAGCCAGGGCACCAGTGTGGTTTCTTACTATTCACATTTTCGAGTCCATCCAGGGAAGAGCCGGGCACTCGCCTCTTCTGGAAATGAGCGTAGAGCTGTGTCCCTGCCTGTCTGTTTGGGGGCAGGGGAGACAGCAGATGGGCGCCCGTTACACGTGAAGCACCTGTGGGGCGTGGATGAGAACTCTGGTCCGACACCGCCAACAACAGCTGGGCCTTATAGCCGTGGGATGCATTCATACACAAAACTGCCCCCAACTGATATTTTGTTAAAGTACTGAAATGTAGGACCGTTTTAAGGGTGAGTTTCAGTTATTGACCCAGAGGAGAGAGCCACCCCTTGGCTGGGGGACCCCGACAGGCTCGCGCAGGGTGCTCACTGGGACATGCGTCTTCTCTCTTTGATAGGGTGAAAAGCCGGTGTCAGAATGACCGAGCGCTTTGACTGCCACCATTGCGAGGAGTCGCTCTTTGGCCAGAAGTACATCCTGCGGGAGGAGAAGCCCTGCTGCGTGGCCTGCTTTGAGGCCCTCTACGCCAGCACCTGTGAGGAGTGCAGGAAGCCCATCGGCTGCGACTGCAAGGTACCCGGCCGCCCTCGGCCGCGCCATCCCTGCTGGGCCCCTTCGGCTCCCCCAGCGCCACGGCCTCTGTGTGCGGCTGTGCTGAAGGCCCGGTCCGCATCATTCCATCTCTTGACCCCGCCCCGCCATGGTCTGGCCCTCAAGTCTTCTTGAGCTTCCTCCCTCCCCTGGTTTGGTCTCTGCCACTCCTGATTCCCTGGCACTTGGATGGTGCTTTCCCAGGACGTGTGTGCTGTCCTAGGCACCCCCGCATACTCCGGTTACTCTGTGCTTGCCCCCCCCCCAGCTCCCAAGGCTGGGGGAGCAGCTTCCTTGAGGCCCACGCCCCCTTCGTCCTGTGCCTCGCTGACTCATGGGGAGCTGGTGCCGCTCAGTAAGTGTCTGAGGAACGGACGTGCCCGCGAGTGGCCGTGCAGATGGGCATGTAACAGCAGGAAGTTCACTGGGATGTGAGGGGCTCTTTTCTCTCAGGGGCAGAAGGCCAGGATTTGTGTGGTTGTGCTTTCAAGGGAAAAGGCGCCCAATGGAACTACCAGCCTTCCCGCTGTGGGTGGCACAGCAGGTTCCACCCGCCCTTCGTGCCGACTGGCTGGGTCGGGTGTCGGGGACGCGGGCCTGTGCTTCTCAGCACATCTTTGGTCCACACGGACCCCTGGGGACGCCCCGGGGTCTGTCCACGTCGCTCAGATTGCGGTGGTCTTCATGGCGAGACCGCTGTTGAAACCCACACGACAGCACTGTGGTGAGCGTCATCCTAGAGCCTCAGGCGAGCACCAGGTGGGGTCCCACCGGAACCTAACGGAGTTCCCAGGTGACGGGCCTTGACGGCAGTCGACGGCCTTCCGCTGCGCTGTGCTCTCACTCCTCCCCGCTCTCCTGGGCTGCGCCAGGCTGAGCACAGACGGACAATGCCAGCACACCCGTGACGTGTCTTACGTGTCCTGCTTGGGCCACCTCAGCCCTGGGGGAGGCAGTGAGCCGCGGCCGCGCGGCAGGCTCTGTTTCTAGGTGTCTAGTGAGAGTTAAGGAATAATTTCCGTCTTAGGCGGAAAGAGGCCTTTGTCCTGGGCAGAGACAAAGGCTGTGCCGTGGGCCACCACAGGCCGAGCTGGACCGCCAGTCTTTGGCTTCAGAACAGGAGTGGCGAGCCAGGTGTCAAAGAGACGGAACTCACAGGCTGTCCTGTGGAAACGAAAAGGTTCAGCAGTCCGGCCACTGTGGAGGAGCTGACCATGCTGGTCTGCAAGTTGGATGCCTCTGTGTCTCCAGCTTTTCCTGCAGAGTGTCCCCGTCCCTAACGGGTGTCCTCGATCTCTGTCCAGTTACTGACGGGGCCAGGCATTGGAGCTCCGAGGGGGAGGCCCGGTTCCAGCCCCCGCTCTGGGGCTCACCAGCCATGTGAACTGGGGCTGACTGCTTGACCCTCTGTGTCCACCTTCACATTTGTAACACGGAGGTGAAGCAAGGTGCTACTTCAGGGGTTGTTATGGTATGTAGCCGCAGAGCCCTGCGCCCGGAAATGGCAGCCATGGTGTCGCTGTGATCTCCAAACTGCCACTCCCGACGACTCCCCGCTCTGTCCGAAACACGTTCCCTCCACACCCCTCTTGGAGCTTTGTCCTCTCCGGGATCGCTTTTCATTGTAAAAACATCAATAAAAATGTCCGGTGTGAGCCCTGGCAGGTATTGCTCAGCGGTTAGAGCGTCGGCCTGTGGACTGATGGGTTGTGGGTTCAATTCCTGGTCAAGGGCACGTACCTGGGTTGTAGGTCAATCCCTGGCCCAGGTCAGGGTTGTGCTGGAGAGAAGCCATTGATGTGTCTCTCTCACATCCATGTTTCCCTCTCTCCCTCCCTCCCTTCCTCTCACTCTTCCTAAAAATCAATGGAAAAATATACATCCTCGGGTGAGAATTAAAAACAACAACTAAACGTCTGATTTGAGGAGTGACTAGTAGGCAGGAAAACATGATGCTATGAAAAGCTGTACCTGAGAAGCCGTAAGTAGGTGCAAGTTTTGGCTATTAGATTCCTGACACAGAACAATTCTAGTTTAAAGGAAACATTTTGGATATTTGGGGCTAGTCATCCTTGACTGGTGACTAATGTAAAAACAAAAGTCACCATTTCTCCAGTATGATTTAGTGGAAAGACCCTTAAACCTCGGTATCCTTTAGCACAGACTTTATGAACAAACACCAGAATCCTCCAAATGGGGCCAAAATCAACATGACTGCTGCAAAGTCAAGAGTTAATCATGCTGAACTTTTCAACCCAGATTCACGGTTTATTCTATGTAGAGCTGCACCATGTGATTTTCCACCATTTGGAAGAAAAAGAGACGCTGACTTGAAGTTAGATTTTGCCATTTGGTGCTTGGGAATATTTGGACCGGTTTTCTTGACGGTCAGAAATAGTGATGTGGTGGGCTTTGTGGGGAAGAGTGTTTCTGACTTCAGGAGGTGAACAAGGGCCAGGCAGGCAAGGAAGCAACCGAACCGGCAGATCCAGAACTGGGCCGTTCTCTTATCTTACAACCACAGACACCCTGGCCGGTGTGGCTCAGTCGGCTGGGCGGTGTCCTGTGCACCGAAAGGTTGCTGGTTCGGTTTCTGAGTTTGAGCCTCATTTAACTCAAACTCTGAAGGACACTGGTATGTGTAGCATTTAAAAATATTGGAAGCCTGTTGGAATTAGGCTAATCTTAGGGGTATTGACTGCCCTTTAAATAAGAGAAGACTTCAGGACCTGTTACCGTAGTTAGATTACGTATGTTTGAGTATAGTTTCAATGCAGTCTCTCAACTATATTTTTTGCTTCCATTTAGTTACTCTGAGGAAATGCTGTGATCTCAAAGGTAAAAACAGTTTATTTTTGTGGCCAGTGGAATGGTTGAGAACAGGTAACAAAATACAGTTTCTTTTTTTTTTTTTTTAATCCTCATCCGAGGACATTTTTCCATTTTTTGTACAGACAGAGTGGGAGGAAGAGAGAGAGAGGGAAACATCGATGTGAAAGGGACACATCGAGTGGCTGCCACCCGCACGACCAACCAGGGCCGGGGACAAACTGCAACCGAGGTACATGCCCTTAGCAGGAACCGAACCCGGGTCTCTCCAGACCACAGGCCGACGCTCTAACCGCTGAGCCAAACCGGCCAGGGCCAAAATACAGTTTCTTGATCCTCTGACATTAAGCCGATCCTGTAGACACTAGGAAAAAAAATGTTTAGCTCAATTACAGATTTTTTGTAAATGGTTTTTTGTACCTATATTCTGGTCTTCAAAAATTCAAGAAATCAAAGAAGAGAGGGACTGCCCACAGTCTAGAGAGGGCTGTACGTACCATGCACTTATCGAATCAGCAGCTTGAACAAACTCCAGGCCGAATGCCCAGCTCAGACTCGAGTTTCCCAAGCCTGTGCGAGCAGGCTCACGAGGTCAGCTGGGCCAGCAGACACGCATGTGCCCTAGAAGGTTCTGGGGAGAGGGAGCCATAGTAATGAGTGAGAATCCATCCGTGGACAGGGAACCAGCACTGGGGGGTAGCTTCCAATAGCGGTCATGAAAGCGACCGCACTCTGAGCGATGGCTTTGCTCCAGACACTGGGGAAACGCGTTAGTTACATGATCTGAACTTCTCGTGACACCCCATGTACCCCAGCTTTCTCATTCCACTTTATGGAGAAGCTGCTGCGGCTGAGAGGGGTGGGGGGCCCTTGCTGGTTTACGGGGTTGGGAGGCACTTGAGTTAGAACTAAAACCCAGGTGGGTGGCTCCATCCCAGCCGCGGCAGACGTGTCAGGGAGACGGGCCAGGTGTGACTGGACGGGGTCAGTCCTAGGAGGCAGTGATGTCACCTTGCACCCTCAGCGAAAGGCCCCCGCTTCTCCTGGGCCCTCGGGTGGCGATGGCTGTGCTGTGGGAATGATGCCAGTTTGTGTCTAGAACACTTTCCAGTTTCCTGATTAGTCAGATGGGAAATGTTGACTTGATGATCAGATTGGCCCGAGTCTACCCATCAACGTACAGAAGTTTCTCATTTAACATTTGGGAAGTTCTCAAAGGACAGAAAGCAGCCAGGGCACTGAGTTAAACCTCGATGTCTCTGTTACACTCTGAGGGGTTCCGGACCAAGGCTTAGGGGCGTACGACTAGACTGGGAACACCGTCCACCCTGCCTCCCGCAGGGCACAGCCCCTCCTGCTGGCCAAGCTGGGCCGTTCTTCTGGGAAGAGCAACTATTCCAGTTCACCATCCAGCTTGCCATCCTGACTCCTTGTATTTGTTGAGGTGATTTTTATGTGCTTAATGAGTGAATCATCTTTTTTTTACATTTTTTTTTTATTCTCACCCGAGGACCTTTATGCATTTATCTTCTGATAGAGCAGGAGGGAGGAGGGAAGAAGTGAGAGAAACATCAATGCAGGAGAGTCATATTGAGTGGTTGCCACCCACACGACCCCAACTAGGGCTGGGGACAGACTGCAACCGAGGTACGTGCCCTTAGCGGGAACCGAACCCGGGACTCTCTGGTCTGCGGGCCGACCTTTAACCGCTGAACCAAACCGGCCGGGGCCAGACTTGCCACCTTCGATCCTTGGTTCCCAGGGGAGTCCCTGGGCTCGTACCAGTGCACACAGAGGAAGGGCCTTCGCTTCTGCCATCATCTACAGTCTGTCCCAGACCCTTGTCCCAGGGTTTGAAGGACACGCCGTTGAGAACGCGACAGCCTGCCGTCTGAGAGCACAGACCATCTTTCCGAAGCGCGGAGCACGCTGCCACTGGCGGTCGGTTTATGAAGCAGGAGCGTGTGGTGTGAGGGCAGGTTGCTCCGGGCCTCAGCTGAACAGCTGCCAGCCCAGGTGCGCGGAGGAGGACTGGGTGCCGGCTCCCTCTGGAGCCACCTGCAGTGAGCTGAGGGCGGGGTCCCTCCAGGACATTACTCCCAGTGGCTCCGCTAAGCCCCAGGAAGGGCACGCTCAGGGCCAAGCAACAAGCA